GGATTGTTGGACTGATGCTTGAACAGAGTGCCACGATCCAATTTTCCCTTCCACATTCTCAGCCCTACACGAGAAGTCAAGTTTGTCCAAAACTAACATCACCCTCGCTATTAGGGTGTCCGGGAGTCTTCAGCCCTCAGCGCCCGCTTCCATTCATTATCGCAACAGCGCTTTGGCAAAGCTGTCAAATGTTGCCAAATTGTTGACCCATGCAGATCTATGGGAAGGCAATGAAGTTTGCTAGTTGTTCTCCCAAATAGGTTTCTGAAATAATGAGGACACGTATTAAAAGCCGTTTCGAAGACATACATTTTGTTAAGCTAATAATGAGGTTGAACTTGATTAAGTGTTAACTGATTGAAGTTAGACTGAATGAGAACTTATTGAAGGCTAAACAGGGGGGGGTGCTCAGATGCAAACAATAAGACTTTAGACATATTCAAGTAAAAGAACGAAACCAAGCTACAATGACAGCAACTCAACAACGAATTACTCTGGCAAATATTTTAGGTGAAAATTGAATTTCATGTTCATTCTCGATTCACGTATCCGTACACTTACATATGAAGCAAAAGAAAGAACAAGAACTGCAGAGCGTCTGGCTCATCTGAAGGTCTGTTGCACCCGGTTATAGAACGTAACATTTGAAGTCGTGCGTAGTGACGAACCTTTGTTAGGTGGCAGAATAGTGCAGATACGCAGAGTTCGCGTACACATCAATTTTCAGCAACCTTCCTGCATTCTGCATACCCTTCCAAAGATCCGCATCTGTTGAATACAAATGCGCGTGCGCTGAAACTCCTGTTTTATGGTGCGTTGTGACCCTAACCCTAAAACCCTATTAAAAATATCAAAAATTAATTGTTGTAAAAGTTATTGTGTTGTTATTAAGATTGTTGTAAATAAATCAGTAACATATTTTGCGTTAATTGGAAAAAAAATAGTTAAATGGATAAAGATAGACAAATACAGAAAACAGGTAAAATAAAAAATCTGATCGAGATAAATTCCAACAACACTTTATGAGCCATGAGGCCTGCCGGCGTCGCTATCCAGGCTGAAGAGGCTTTCTAGATTACTGGATGTGCCATGAATAGTAAGAACACCTGTGACAGTTCATTGAGGCAGTTGAGGAATGCCATGGTTTAACCCTCCTCTTGAGGGTCAGAAAGGGTTATGCGACACTTAACTCTTCGGCACGTCAGTGGAAAGCACATTTCATGGTCCTTTCAATAAAGTGATAAAAAAGTGGTAGGTCAGCGCTGAAGACAAAAAAGTTGTTTCACTCTGTCCATTAGGCCATGCCTCAGGAAACTGGTCTGATATCCTGACCTTTCCCCCCACTCGCCTTTGACCTGTGACCTCCAAATTTTGCACCTGGTGATGGGTTCCTGTCCATCACACGTATGACCCGAATATTAAGAGTCATAGTTCGAGCCGTTAAGATTTGTGCCCGCAATTCCGTATTTTCCTCCTATACGCTTAAGTTACGGGGAGAATATTCCCGTCGTTTACACGTCTTGACCTTTGACCGCATTGGACCGCGCAAATTGTTCATCCTGAAGTCTTGTTCACGATCTCCCCCCGACGTCCCAAATATCGTGATCGGTAACGGTCGAGCGGATTAAGATTTGTGCCCACTGTTGACGGACGCAACGGACGGACGGCACAGATCATGAGCGATTCTAACAGAGCTGCATCGGACTAGCGGCAGATGAGCCTAGAAAATTATGGAATGAAGTGTCAAGGGTCAAGACGTGAACCTTAAGACATGGTCCCAAGTGGGCATTACCACAGAAGATGTCAAAGGGCATCCAACCAGCTCAATGTTCCCAACCAGTTTAGCATGAACTATTTCCCACACTAGACAGCACCAATCGTTCTGTGCTTGTTCTGGCTGTCAGTTGCAACTCCCTTTTTGGGCAGACTGTATATTCAGAAGCGAGAGTGCACGACACCCTGAAATTATTTTTAAAAGGTGAGTTATGCCGTAGCTGTGCCAGCAGTACAAATGAATAATAATGATCACTTTAGTATACTAATTCAGATACAAAACAGATAACTTTTATAGTCGGTTATACTAAGTATAACTTATGATTCTCATGAATTCCTATGAATTTGCTAATAAAAATAAGGCACTGAATTTAAATGTGTAGTGTTTTCAGATCAAAATTAACAGCAACCAAACTGATAAACTTTACCTTCTTCTAGTTCGTGTAGGTAGGTCCCAGTTGTCTTATATCTGTGATTCCATTGCAGTGTGGAAATCTAGAGGCCACACATTCTAATATCAACCTGTTCGTGTCGGCAACGTGTGCTGTCCTAGCATAGTCTGGCTGTAGAAATCATTTGAAACTACCTAAAACGAGCATTACATTTACTCAATTAAATGCTTATGTAATATGTCTTTAGAATACTTACACCCATGTATAATGTGTTTACAGACCAAAAAGCACATTTGTCCTAAAATCTGGTATCCCCAACTTTACAACCACAAGAGAATTTACTTTGCTGCTGTCTGCCGCCACACTCCAAGGTAAATTTAAAAACGGAAATGGACATGGCAGTTTGTTAACATTTTGTAAACTCACACTTCATCATCCACAACCACCTTGCTTGTGCCAAATGTGATATTTTTGGGAATGTTTTTTATGATGACATCCATGAATTGATAGTGTGTATACGAAATTATGACAGCCTTTCATTAGGGGGGAATGAATGGTTTGCAAGGAATTTAGAACTCAAACCATACCTACTGAAGGACAGCCTCCTTTGCGTCATTTGTAAAAAGCAGACCACGCTGTTCCTTTGAGGACGTTCGTCGCTATCGTTATGAGATTAGGACGATTACGCTTTTCTTATTGTCTTACCCAAAGAGCAAACCAACTACTCGGTTTTCCCCAAGCAAAATCCTGAGAAGGTATGTAAAAAAGAGATAACACAAAGACACAATCAACGAGGTAACTTACAATGAAATTACACTAGTGAATCACAGCAATTTTATTATCATCCTATACATACTATTGAATGGGCTATTTTCATTTTCAGACGCGAATGTTTTGCATTGGCATCAATATGCTAGCTTTTTATACGGTATTTCTTGCACCAAAGTCTGTAAATGGCACGGTTCCCTATAATGTTCTGCTTGTGCGGAGCAGAAACTTG